CCACAGAGTGGGTCTCCTCAGGGTGCCGTCAGCCAGACAGTGCCGGCTGGCGACTCCCAGGGGGAGGGCCTTCTCGGTGGGAGCTCCCACCCTCTGGAACGAACTACCCCCAGAGATCCGGGTGATCCCGGATCTCCCTTCCTTCCGCCGCGCCCTTAAGACATGGCTATTTCAACAAGCAGGACTGGCCTAAGGGGAACTTTTAGCGGGGTTTTAAAAACAATTTTAAATTAAAAATGGCCAAATCTAATATTTTATTTTAATTCTGTTTTTAATGATAGTTTTGGGGTATTTTTGTATCTGTTTTTATCAGGCTGTCAGCCGCCCTGAGTCCGCAAGGAGAAGGGCGGGGTAAAAATTTAATTAAATAAATAAAAATTAAATAAATAAAGAAACTAAATTGAGAAAATGTCTCAGATAGGCCCCTCTCTCATTCACGCAAAGAGAAAATGAAGGAGGAGGAGAGCATACTCAGACTTGCAATATTCTGTTACTATATTTGTTCCAATAAAAATAATTTTAGACCTACATGGCATTGATTTCCTAGTCTGGTCTACTTATAGAGGTACTGTCAATAAGAACAATAAGTCTATATTGCCATATTTGTAGCAACCACAGGGTGCATTTAACTTCTTTTCAGCTATTTTTCAGTGTCCCAAGACAAGGATAAGTAACATAATATCTCCTTCAGATTGATCTTTGCTCCTGGATACATCCATGCAGCTTTCTTGCCCAAAGTGCAGAAGTGATTAACTATTGCCTTACTCTGAAGATTATTTATTTCCCAATTAAGCTTACAGACCTAATGTTCTTCAGAGGTTTCCTATCCAAACACCAAACAGACTTGTTCTTATTTGATGTTTTTATTTTTTCAGCTTCTGTTCTTGTTAAGTTTCTAATCCCAGACAAAGTCAGCCAAATAGGACAGAGACTGGGAAGGTTAAAACTTCCTTTCCTAGAAGTTAATAGGCTGAACAATGATTGAATGGCTATTCACAGTCACAATCTATAGAGATGGCTATTATTGTATTGCAGCACATTTCCCAATCATAGCTGAAGGAGGGTGTATAAGTCCTTCCTAAGAAAAACTGTAAATGAGGATGTAGGTCACTCAGCATTGTTCTAAAAATAGTCAACAATGCAAAGCAAGAAAAATGAGATTTTGTTGCTCTTATAAATTGTATACCTTTGAACTGAATACAGGCCCACTTCAATTTTATTTCACTGCAGGCAATTTGCAGAAGGTTAATAATCTATTATTGCAAATTGTATGTTTTGAATTTTTTTTACTAGTTGATTCAGAATAATGAAAAGCATATAAGGCAAATATTACTATATTCTTAGTAAAGGAACTAGCAATCAATCAATAGGGGATAATGAGATAGTATTCTACATCTTGTTTTTTTTAAAAATAGATCTCACCATGGCTTTATCCAATCCAATAAAGTTTTTTAATGCTCATGATAAAAAGATGAAGAATGCAGATGCTAATAATGAGGTGAGTTCTCCAAATAATATATATATATATATATATTGTGTGTAAAATACCTGCTTTTGTACTATAGCTCAAATCAGGATGCTAGTGATAGAAGTTAAGCCAGCATATTCCATCTCAGAGTCTGACATGCCTCTTAATAGCAACCAAAGAAAAACAGAGATCAATTATTTTAAAGAGGCTTTTAATAAAATGGGCCAATGTTGTTTTAGAATCATAAAATTAATACTTCTGAAATACTTCAGTTAGGATCCAGAATGTTATCCATACATTCTAAATGTTACAGAGTTATCCAAAAGACAAGAAACACGTATGTAACTGGAATAGCAAATAGTTTATAGATACTCCTTGCTTAACGACTGGTTGCTTAATGAGCAAATTAATAATAGCTTCAGAAAGGGTGGTTTATGGCCTGTAAAGTACTTCCAACCATTACAAAACATTGCACCAAGAATAACAATCTGCTTGATTATGATTTGGGTGCTTGGCAACCAGTTCACTTACTTATTACAGTCATGATCATGTGATTGTCATTTGCAATATTCTCTGCTGGCTTTCCCAGAAGGTCAGTGGGGAAGGCAGCAGGGAAGGTTACAAGGAGAGGAGATGGACATAAGCTGAAATCCTGCATGGGGTTGAGGGAACAAAGCTGAAACCCTTGAATCCTGAAGATTTCAGCTCTGTTCCTGCAGTTCCATGAAAGGTTTTTCCTCTTCCTTTGTGAAGGGGAGGGGAATCCCTTTGTCAGATTTCAGGAATGGAGCTGAAATCCTAAAGATTTAGATGAGGGATTCTGGGTGTTGAATTCCTCACAGCTTAAAGTTGCTGAGATTGAAAAACACTGTTTTAAGGTCTGCATTGCGCTGTTACATGGAGGGTGAGGAAGGGGATTTAGCAAAGGATTCAAGGAATGTGGGGCAGTGCATTGGAATTTTAAAATTGATGAAAACAAGATAACAATATCTTCTATTTGGCCTCTAAAGCATTTTTAGTTATTATATTCACAAGGAATCTTAAATGTTAAACCTGATTAATATACCATAGTTGCTACCTTCACATAATGTACCCAAAATACCATATTATGATTTATCATATGTTGAAACAAACTATATTATGGATTAACACGATGGCTTGGTTTAACCCATGTTAAAACTGTGACTTGCTTTGTACAGCTGTCGATGGCACCCACTTTCAGCCTATTTTACCCTAGCTACAAACCTAGCTGCTAGTTATTTTGAAAAGAAGAATTAAATTCTTTCTTAGCCAAATTCGCTTTTCATATCAGACAGTGTCAGACCCAACCCAAGAATGACATAGAACAGACATGTCAAACACAAGGCCCACGGGTCGGATGCGGCCCGCTATGTGGTTCCATCCGGCCCGGGGACCTGCTCTGGAAAGACCGAAGAATCGGCCCACCACACCTCGGCCCGGCCCAGGCTGACCAGGCATTGATCTATAACTTGGTTGCGTCCATCAAAGCCAGAATGCACTCAGCATTAAATCCACAGGGCAGCCCCACCCCTGGGTGCGCACGCAAGCAGAGTCTGGCATCCCTGTTGGCTGTCTTGTCCCGCAGGCTGACTTCACCCAGGACACTGGCGCTGGCCATCTCCTGTGCGCACACCCAGGGGCGGGGCAGAGATGGCGAGGCAGCTCCTTGCTGGTTCCAGTGGATCTTAGGCTGAGTGTGTTCTGGCTTTGATGGATGCAACCAGGTTGTAGATCAGTGCCAACCCCCCCACACCAGCACCTCCAGCCTCGAAGCCACGAGGCATCCCTTTCAACAGGACCGCCCCCACCCGCCCTCATGGTATAGGAATGGCTGGCAGCAGCATATTAGTGCTGGCAATCTCTCCCCCTCCCATCACCCCTTCCTGAGCACGGGGGAAGGAAAAAGATGAGAAAGCGAAGAAAGGAACGAGGGAGGGAGGAAGGAAGGAAGGGAGGGGAAAAGGGAGGGAGGGAGGAAGGAACAGGAAGGAACAGGGAAAAAGGAACGGAGGGTGAGAAGAAGGAAGGAAGGAACAGAGGGAAGGAGGAAGGAAGGGAGAGTGGGAGGGAGGGAAGGAAAAAGGGAGGGAGGGAGGGAGGAACAGGGAGGAAGGAATGGAGAGTGGGAGGAAAGAAGGAAGGAACAGAGGGAGGAAGGAATGGATGGTGGGAGGGAGGGAGGAAGGAAGGAAGGAACAGAGGAAAGGAGGGAGGGAGGGTGGGAGGGACCATGTCCCAGCGCTCGCCCCAGTCCCATCCTCCGCCGGAGACCCTCAGATCTACCCCAGTCCTGCCCAGGCACCCCTGAAGCAAGTGATGTCGAGCTGGCCACGCCTGCCCCATAGGCCACGCCTGCCCCAGCCACACCCATCCAGTAGGCCACACCCATCCAGGCCACACCCACCCGGTCCCCCAAGGGCAACCACAATGCTGATGTGGCCCTCAATGAAATTGAGTTTGACACCCCTGACATAGAACAATCCAGCCAAACTTCAGTTCTTTATTTGCTATACACAACAGACAGAATCTGCCAGACTAAACCCTTACTGGCCTAAGGAAATACCCTGGTCATCCTAACTCTCTTCCTCTGTCTCCTAGCCAGATGTAGGTTGTGTTGCCTCTTGTCTCCCCCCTTTTCTTAGAATGTGCTTCCTCCTTCCTGGGAAACTGCTGCTTTACTATTGTCCATCACATCACCTCCCCCTCCATAGGCACCATTCTTCACCTCTAGGAACAACATAAAAGCCTGGATATATAACTGTGTTTGGGAGCAGCTGAAGTGCTGCTTTCCAGACTTGCTTTTCTCCACTTCTTATTCTGGACTAGACAGTTATTCACAAAAAGAGTGACTGTCTCATCAAATCTTCATAAGATTTCACATTTAATTATCAAGGTGCTGTAAATGGAATTTTCTTGAAGCTAAGAATAAGACAGTACTTAAAAGACATATTTTCAGCTTGCTTTCTGAGTTATCACAGCTCTGAGTGTTACTGAGCAATTTATTTGGAGGAGTCAATGTGAAAAGTATAGCAATTGTGTCTATTGAGGAAGTCACAGAATGTTTGGGGCTGTCAGAGAACCAAACACCCTGAGATCTTCAGTTTAAAGAAGTCAAGTGAATGGAAAAAGGAAATAACATTTTTCAGGTTGAGAAATTTGGATTCACTGGTAGGACATTCACATGGGCTACCCTGAAGAATGATGGTGGAATATCTCCACTTTGTTATGTATTTTATAAATGCACCTTATGATACTTCATCTTTCTTGCTGCTTTCATGCAGGAACATTAAAGTGCCAAACAAGAGTAAAAAAAGCAAAAACAATATAGGATTGGGTAGGAAGCTGCCAGTTGTTTCCAAGGATCTATTTTTGCACTGACATCAATTTTCTGTTGAACTTTATTTTATAGAAATCCATTTTGGAAATGAATCTTTCAGTCAACGGGATACCTAACATCATAGGAAGTTATTGCACTCCTTCAAATGGCCCTGCAGGTAATGCTATGGAAATGATAGGAGCTGAGAATGGGAAAACACATATCGTTCACATATTGAAAGGAGATGGTATAACTCCAAGTGACAAGAAGTAGGTTCAACCCACATCACTGGGACCAGTTGAACATTCTGACCATAGTCAAAATCTATTTATAAAGGAATAAAGTTTTAGTCCACTGTGATGTTGTTTCCATTCTCCAGGAACCTTGATTACATCAAAAGAAGGGACCATGAAAGAAGCTGCAAAATTAACTGCAGGTAAGAAAGCCCTCTCTTTTTAGCAATCTGACACAATGTCATATGTGAACAGATTCTACATGTATATCATTATTACAAAATGTGTGGTGATTCAGCCAGAATATGATATATTCATATCAACTGGTGGGCTTTATCCCAATACCTTTCAAAAGCCACTCCACACATTTATTCAGGGATGGGACTTCATTGTGGAAAAAAATGCAATAGGAATTAAGGAAACCCTCTCCTTATTACAGTAAGAGGAGACTTGAAACTTTTCATTTTATCTAGGCCATTTAGGGTTTTTAGAAAATATATGATACGGAAGGTATATGTTCCCAAACTGGTTCTTTAAGACTTCCAACAGTTTACCCATCAATAAAGAGGCTATTCACCTTGTCCTGGTTGTTCTTTTTCTC